TGGAAAAACCATAGCTTTGACTATGCGGATCTTTGTCGGCAAGGTGACGTCTCTGTTTTTTTAATATGCTATCTAGGTTTGCCGAGAAATGTAGTACCATTCCCAAAATAAGCCTATGAGATTTAAAATAAAAACAAAACTCTCCAAAGCTTCTTTCCCAACCCAGCCAAACACCTCATAGGCGTTGTGATCCAATCCTTTTTTTGCCTTCTAGAAATATTAAGCGGGACCTATGGCCACCAAAAAGTTGCTAGGCTCTGCTGTAGAGCATTTACATAGGACTACCTTTGAAAGCTGACTGAAAACTTCCAAAATGTTATAGATAAATGATTGAGACTAAGCACTGTGGACTCATCCAGACATCCTCTTGAAGGTGCCTTGCTAGTATTCTCAAAGGTCGTATCCTTCCCATGTATCTGATCCAAAGTTAAAGTGATGTTCTCAAGACAGCACAAGACTTGCTCTACAAACAAGTGTTGTACTTCGGCAGCAACCAGAGTGATGACTCAGCAGAAGCTGGTCGCTTTCAGCAGCTGAGGGCATAATCTCTTTCCTCCAATCATTACTGACAATTTTCTTTGGCTGAAACAACAGGAATCTTCCAGTGCCAGGCTTCAGATGACGGTCAAGCATTTTGCAGGTTCCTTATTTCCGTGGGTAGATAAAAGACTGGCAGGAAGTCTGCACAGCACAGCAGAGATGGCTGAAGTGAAAGAGTCCACACATTCTGTCGGTTTTAGAGAGAGCAAGTGAGAGACAAAGAGAGCTCACCCAAGAGATGAACAAGAGAGACAGATAAGTGAGAGTCATGAAGTGAGGGCAAGGAAGATAAAGAGTGAGGAAAGGACAAGTGAGGGAAAAGAGGAAGAGAATGCAAGCGAGATGAGCAGGGACACTGGAGCAAGAGCAACAGGGCAAGCAAGAGGCAAAACAGGTGATACAGGAGCAAGAGAGTGACAGATTGTAAAGGAGCACTGAGATTCCCTTGGAGAAGGTGCACAGAGACCATTAGCACAACATGGACTCATCCAGGAAGACAAGACAGCATGAGAAATGTTATAGTTGCCCTCCCTTGTCTCTCTTCGGTATAAATGGGAGGGAAGGACATGTAGTGTCAGGCTTTCAAGATTCATTTATTATAGCCTGTATCAATAAAGTAGAGTTCTAGGATTTCTTGTGGTGTTTGTTTCCTGACCTGGCCTTTCTTGAAAGGTTGACATCAACCTTAAAAGCATTAAAATTAAAAATTAAGATTAAAAAACATTGAAAGCATTTCTCCTTCCCTTTCTCTCATACCAAAAAGAGTCAAGGCAGGGCAATCTTGAGTTTCTTTCTCATGCTTTGTTGTTTTCCCCAGCTGAGTTCATGTTTGGTTAATGACCTCCTGTTAGCGAACAGGCCCTGATTGCTGTTCTGTGTTGCTATCGTCCTGATTCTAGGTCAATGTGGCAATTAATTGCTATTTCTGTTTTAATGCCCTGCTTTGATATTTTACCCTTAAATAACTTATTCATACATTTATATTTATATCTGTTATTTTAGTTATTTGCTACTCTGGAGATGTTTAGGGGTTAAGGAGCAGGACAGAAAAGTACTAATAAATAAATATAGGATTTCTTTCACTTTCTTTGTAAAGTACAGTGGTTTCTGTGAAAGCAAGCTGTATAAACCCTTCTGTATTTAAAAAAAAACACCTTCCAAGATAGGTTGAGGTGATAGTTGATCAAGTAATATACCACCTCGGCTATATAAACTCTTATTCTTGTATAACATGATTCTTTGGATGAGAGCCATATCATTTGTTTAAACAGGAGAACAAGATAGTCACTTTTACTGCATGGATCATCTAAACAGCCCCACTAGTGGATTGGCTAAATGTAACTATATGGATATTGTGTAAATATTGCCACTTCTGTCACTTTTATAGATCAATTCTTCTTGTAATTAGGAAATCATTTTAAAAAGCCTACAGAGGCGCTCAAACAAAATGACTGTTTGTCCAGCAGCTCATACCTTATGTGTCTATTTACATTGCCATTTGAAACATCCAAGCAGACGTTCTCTGCACATAAATTGAACAGGTGCCCAGGTCCTGACGTGTTCCTGCTCACCAACTCCAGTAGACTTATCCTGAGACATCGTCTGTCAAGACACAGATTTAATACGCAGAGAGAGCCAGCCAAACATGGATACAGTTTGCATAAAGCAATAAATATACTCTCCCACATAAGCTACATTTCACGTGAATTACGTTTACAGCTGGGATGTGCTGATTAGGGCTGAGCAAATATTTGATTGGATATTCCGACTGAAGGGCAGTTCTGTCAAGGGCTCTCAGTCATGGGACCTGCAGGTGGGACGGCAGAATGCCTCCAGATATCACTTGCAGGGGAACAATAGTGGGAATGCCTGTTTGAGAACACCTCAAAAGCCCCACTGAAAAAGAAAATGCTGGACTTTCGCCTGATCCAGTAAGGTCATACTTCCATTCTTTGGTGATGTAATCAAATCTGCAGTGTCTTTGAATCAGCTTGGATGATGTCTCAGACCCTTCTGAGCATGTGCAGAAAAAGAATTTTTTTTTCCTGAACTAACTTGGAAATCAGAATCAAACTGACCCAAATCAGTTTGATTTTCCAAATTGAATCAATTAGGATCAGATTTTTGCTGCACAGCTCTGACCCTGAGGTAGTAATGGTGCTAAAGAATGGAGTCATTTTTTTTATACCTCATTATCATGGAGAAAACATTTTAAAAGTGCATGTTTATGCCATTAAAGAATTTAGCATAGATGTTTTTCCTGAACTCTGTATATCCGATGGGTTGACGGGTTACATCTGTTCCTCCACAATAGAATAGAATAGAATAGAATAGAATAGAATAGAATAGAATAGAATAGAATAGAATAGAATAGAATAGAATAGAATAGAATAGAATAGAATAGAAATCTTTATTGTC